TAAAAAAATGTAGTGCCCTTTATTTGCTATTTTTTCTTTAGTAAAGTCAAATTTTTTTGCTCAAACTGTTTAATAGGAAATCACGTTAAAAATGGGGGAGGAGGCAGCTTCCCATAAACTCCCCATAAGATGTCTTATACTGAGAAAAAATATATAATATCACAAAATCAAGTACACATAAAAAATACAGAGTTTATCCCGCTTAATCTTCAAAGAATTATTTGCTCGTATGTATTTGGCAGTAAAATAATCGACAGACAACGTATTATCGAAGTGTAGCAAAATTCGATTTTTTTGCTATAACTATACACGTAAAAAATAAATAGTTTATCTCGTCCGCTCCCATGTCATGCTCTAGAGTTTCCTTCTTATCTCCAGAATTATTTGCTTACTTATATTTAATATAGAAATAAGCAATTTCTCCCAGCCGCTGAGATAAATTACTTATTTTTCATGTGTTGCAGTTAGTAATTAAATAATGTTATTACATTATATGATAGTATATTATCTATAAAAATTATTTTATGTATCTGTTTTATTATTTTATTATTTTATGTATACATGCGAGCAACAAACATATAAATATCTGTCAGATACGAATGTGCAGTGCTGAGAACGTTATGTATAATGGCATTTCTTTAAAAATGTTACATTTTACAAATGTTTTTGCTTTATTTGGGAACAATTAAAAAGCAAAAAAATTTCATGTGCTTGATTTTGTGATTTATATATTATTTTCAGTATGGGAGTGTCGAGCTTAATTAGTGATGCATTTCGATACGAGAATCTCGAATATCGTCTCGGAATTTCTCGTATCATTAAAAATATCGTTTCAGAGATTATCATATATCATTTGTTTTTCTCGTCTCGGTCTCGTCAAATGAAACGAGATAGCTGATATTCTTGAACGTCTCAGTAAAATTCGAGAATCTCGAGAAGCGAGAATATCGGCCCATCGAGACGAGAATCTCATATCAATCATTTGTTTTTATCGAGACCAAATCTCGATATTGGTATTTTCTCGTCTCGTCTCGCTCGAATGCATCACTAAGGGCCACTTTCACCAAGCTCAGTTAACTTAACCACCCTAGTAACTGTAATGAAATAGAAAGAGATAGAACAGTTCTATTTCTTTCTATTTCATTACAGTTACTAGGCTGATTAAGTAAACCGACGATGGTGAAAGTGGCCCTAAGCTTAATAGTAAGTTGCTCTCCCTCTTCTTTCCCCTCGCTTTAAATTAATAATTTCATGCTAAACAGTTTGAGCAAAACATTTCGGACTTTAGCAGAAAATTAGCAAATAAGGAGTACTAAATTTTTAACTGAAGAAAAATATATTCTGAATCTTATGATCTTGTATCGCTGTAAATTTAAGCCTGTTTGGTAAATTTAAATGAATGCTTCACTTTTGTTCAAATTTGACATAAATCTAAATGTAGAAAAAATATTTCACTTCCTATTTTTGTTCATTAGTGGTTTTAAGGCCGGTATTCATAGTCGATTCTTATTTCAAGAGCGTCTTAAGTAATGTCTTAAGACGCGCTAATGCAGCCCTCTGATAGGTTTGTGACTTCTTAAGATCGTACTTAAGACGGTCTTGAATATAAGATGACTATGAATACCGGCCTAAGGGTAGTTCGTCTCTTTAATCTTCATCGTTTTATTATCTGTAAATAAAATAATATATATATAAAATAAAATAGTTAATTCAAAAGATAGAAATTATTATGGATCGCTGATTACAAAAATAAGATCAGACTTGCACTTGTTTAAATAAAAAAATATTGAAACAAATAAAGTTTTACAAATATGATGCTATGTTTAAAAAGTTATTTATTCGAATGACTCTTACAATACATGTACTTATCGCTATATGTACTATATCTTTTTAAATTGTCACTGTGTTTATTTTATGTAAAATAATCTCTAATTTATCATATTTTAATCTCTATAGACTGCCGGTATGATGCCATATGGTGTTATACATATGTGATAACTCGTATACGTTGTACAATGTATACTACACTGAAAAAAAAATTGTTCAGCTAACTAAACACATTTAGTTGTTTGCAGATTTGGTTAATTCAACAAATTTTATTTAATTGAATTCAACTATAGTCTGCTTAAAAAATTGTTCAATGTTAAGTAGACTACAGTTAAATTCAATGAAATAAAATTTGTTGAATTAATTAAATCTGCAAACAACTAAATGTATTTAGTCAGTTGAACAAATTTTTTTTTCAGTGTAGATATATTGTACATCTATGGATTATTATAGGATTTTATGAGGAAACTATGCATGATTTTGGATTCAAAAATCTCGGCGCTGTCTAAAAATTAAGATTTTAAGATTAAATTTTAAGACAGAAAGTGAGAAAATTGCTATATTAACATTAAGTATTATTATATTAATTATCATAAATATATGATGAATTCAATCACAATATCATTGTTTACTTAAAAATGAACATAATTTCATAATTGATTTGATAACCTTCGTGTAAATTGATCAAAACAACATAAAGTAAGTTGTCAAATATTTAAATTTGATTTATACACAGGCAAACGTCGCTTAGAATAATGGAGAAAATCCTCGGCGTATGGCGATTGACAAAAACGCCCCATTTTTACCTTTCTGAATGAAATCTAAGGTCGCAAGTGATACATTGTCTACTGTTTGTTTCCGATAGGGTAAACTCGGGAATTGAACTATGATGGCCATAGTTTTTTAAAATGCAAAAAACATACATTTATTCTTGTTACTTTTTAACAATATTTGGGATATTACTTTCACTGAAGCTTAAAGTAACAAATACTATCGAAATTAAAGAGAAAATACTTAACAGAACTTCAATTTTATCAAAATATTACAAAGTATGCATTGGCCATCTTATCTGATTTTTAGGGAAAAGATGGCCATTAAGAAAGATAGCCATAGTACTTATAAATAAATAGTGAAAATAAAAGTATTAATTATAGGTCACACTGTAATTTACGTACCTTTATTGTGTATGTAATGTTGATTATGGCAGCTTAACTGTAATTTATTAGACATAACAGTTTTTAGCAGACACGTGCAAAACTTTGCAGATAGTCGAAAGAAAAAATATTAGATAATATTTATAATATTGTTATTTTGAACAGTGTACTCATATGAACTACTGTAAATATTGATTATCTTTAAGAATGACTATAAAAATGCACTATTTATTGGAGAAATTATGGTCTATGGCCATCTTTTTCGTATGGCCATAATACCCTAGTCTATCCTATTCGTTTCATTATCTCAATAATATAAAGGACGATATTAAATTTTGGTTGTATTTTGGCCAAAATGGAAAAGTTCCGAGTTACGATAAATTATATATCATATTAGGATTACTTAAGCGGAGTCGAGTGGTGTATCGCTTATCTTGGAGAAATATCGGAAAAAGAAATGTTATCCACAGCAATAAATTTAATGTTATTACACATTTATTGATAAAAAATTGTTAAGGAAGACATCAAGACATTTCCAGAAATAATATTATATTGTTGCAATACGGTAACTTGGAGGAAATTTTTAAGCAATTAACAAGCAACGAAGGGTTTGATAAAAGTAATCGTTTAATATATGTATTTAAATATTTACAACAGGTTCTATTGTTTAATTAAAAGATCTTAATATCTTACTTAAGAACTTTTAGATTAATTACTGTTGATATATATATTTTGTAACGATTTCTTTTATGTTCCCAGTGTTTCCCCAAGATAAGCAATATATTATTCGACTCGCGCTTAAGTAACTCTTTAATATAATATATAATCTATGCGTCTTCAAACGTTTTTATTTTGGTAGAAAAATAACTAAAACCTAACGTCTTTAAAAGCTGATGGAAAATGATCGTGTATACTAAGGGTTAATATTAATTACACTAGTTTACAAAAAATTTTTTTTTTCAATTACTTTGGACCGAACTACGTGTCTCTTATAGATTTTTAAATGCTGAAAACGATGCCGCAAACGAAAAAATTCTAGCACGTCAGATTTCGAAGATAATTGAAGTTTAATACTTCAAAAATGGCTTTTTTTGCGACATTTGACACTTTTTAATAAAGAAGGTTAACGTTATCTTGAAATTTCGATCAGGAGTCATGAATATATTGTTCATCCCCTATAAAATACATTTTTTTTATTTCAATACCTTACTTTTTAGCCATGTTACGAACGATTAAAGATAAGAGCTATTTCGAATATGAGAACCGCAATGTCATATACGCATGCGGTAACGCTAAAATCATTTTAAAACAACAACAACGCGCATACATACACACATAGAGAGAGAGAGAGAGAG